TCTAGTGTTTAGATGATTGCTAGAAAAAGGTTTAAAGTTAAACAGATATAAATGTAAATTTAAAAAGAAATCGGTGGAATATTTAGGGTTTAAAATGGATAAATATGGACTGCATCCCTTAGAAAATAAAATTAAAGCAGTGATAGAGGCGCCTGAACCTGAAGAATGTTTCGCAATTAAGATCGTTCATAGGACTCTTAATTTATTATTATAGATTCATAAAGAATATAACAAACATTTTAGCGCTATTCTATCAACTTTGGAATAAAAATTGTAGATGGAATTGGACGAAAGAATATCGAATGTTATTTTAAAAATGTAAATAATTATTAATGGACTATGGACTAGGCGTAAAATTCTGAGTCATAGAAATGATAGAAAGGAAGAATGACCTATAACTTTTGCTTTTAGAACATTAACTGAAGCGAAAAAACGTTTCTCTCAACTTGAAAAGAAAGCGTTAAGCATAACTTTTGGCGTTGAGAAATTCAGACAATACTTACTGGGACGAAAGTTTGTATTGGTCACAGACACCCGACCCTTAATTCATATATTTTCACCTCATAAACCAATTCCCATATGTGCATCATCCAGAATTAAAAGATGGTCCTTAAAATTAGCTGCATTTAATTATACTGTGGAATTTCGAAAAACTAGTGTTAATTCCAATATTGACGCATTGTCACGTCTTCCTTTAGAATCGAGTGTCAGGGAGTCTCTTGATGAAGACCAGGTACTTCTTCTCAGGAAGTTGAATGAGGTACCGTTCTCTTTTATGGAGGTGGCATATGAGACGCCCCAAGATAAAATACTGTCTATAGTATTAAGGAATGTTAGAGAAGGCAACTGGAAATTTACAAGGGTAGCTCCTCATTATAAGATCAATGAGGAATTAAGTTTGGAGTTTGGTTGTCTTCAATGGCGTGAAAGAGCGGTAATTTCCCAAAAATTAAGATCTTTAATTTTAAATGACTTGCATGAAATACACATGGGGATTGTTAAAATGAAGATGATTGCCAGACGGTATTTTCTGGTGGCCAGGCATAGACAGTAACATCGAGGAGTTAACTAGAGAATGTAGAGTATGCCAAGAATCGGCAAGCATGCCCCCGGCTACCATCTCGGAATGGACTTGGCCCGAAAAACCGTGGCATCGACTTCATCTTGATCTAGCGGGTCCGTTCATGGGAAGAATGGTTTTGGTTCTCTTGGACGCATACTCAAAGTGGATAGAAATTTTTATCATCAAAGATATTACCAGAAAAACGATTATAAATCATCTTAGAGATATTTTTGCCAGATTTGGATTGCCCTAATTTTTGGTTACAGATAAGGAAGACAGTTTGTCTCCGGTGAATTCGAGCAATTTACCAAAATGAATGGTATACGGCACACTAAGACCAGTCCGTATAATCCTAGTACAAATGGTTTAGCTGAGAGATATGTAAGAGAGTTTAAAAACCTTTTGAGAAAGAATAATGGGAAAGATGATTTAGAGACGAATCTACAAAGATTCCTATTTGCTAATGAAGAGAAGTTTAAGATCAAGATTCTCGAATTTAATACCAAGATGGGAAATCCGCGAGAGATATTTCATGAGGCCGTAAGAAGGCAGGAGCAGTTTACTACAGGTTGCGAGGTTTATTTCCGCAACTATGCAACTGGACCTAAACGGTAAAAAGGTACCATTTTGAAATTATTGAGCTACCGTCACTACCTTATAAGTTGCGAGGGCGTCGTGTATAAGAGGCATATCAATCAATTGCGACCTGTGAGAAAGAAACAAGTGGAGACAAGAAATTTGATACTTCCTCGAACATCAGGAGAGAAGCCTGTAGGTGGAAGTCAGAAATAAAGTGAAGAGGAGGTTCCAGAGGTTACATCAGGAAACAAGGAGGAGACTGCTTCTGTGCACGTACCCTCTTGCACTCCTAAACCGGAGCCTGCCGCTGTGCAAGTGCGTGTCCGCAGTCCAAGACCTCAGAGAGCCAGGAAACCCCCAGACCGACTGGAGTATTATTAAGGGGGGGGATGTGTTGTGTAGGTAAATAGATGAAGAATGTTTGCATTCTTTAAAGTCTCATTATGTAAGAATATATGTGTATATAAATTGGACATTTTTTGTTGGCCAAACGAAAAGATTAAGAGCTAGAAAAAGAGTCATGGTTAAGTTTGATTTGTTGTACATCTAATTACGACACAACCTTAACAACATCCATCCTCACTGAAGACGCAAAAGTTGCCTGTTATGCAGATTATATAGCCATATGGCACACAAGTAGCAGTATAGAAATATCAGAAAAATACTGAACACATCAATGAGAGGGCTGGAGAAGTGGGCAATGAAACTCAAAATGACCATAAACCCAATAAACACAAACCTATAGGTCTCCTTCACTGACAGGAAAAAAGGCATGAATTTAACTCCAAGCATAAACAAACATATAATAGATAGAATTAGATCTCCAAATTACCTAGGTGTGATACTTGATGAGAAATTGCGATTTACAGAAAACATAATTAGCACCTCAAATAGAGATACCAGAAATCTAAACATTCTGAGAAGGCTATGTGGAACAAATTGGGGAGCAGAACCCAAAATTCTCAGAACATATATCACCTTAATAAGGTCAATAATGGAATATGCAACATCTGTTAGGCTCCCTCAAGTTCATCACTAAAAAGAAGACTAGACAGTGTTAAAGCAAAAGCGGCCAAATTAATCACTGGTTCTGTTTCAAATATCAACAATTAGAAAATTCATAGAGAATATGGTCTAGACCTACTTGAAAACAGAAGACAATTAAAAGCAATAAATTTCACCAATAGCTTAAAAACTAAAGAAAATGAACACATATTCCATAGAACCTATTTAAACTGGACACAAAAAGAAAGGCTCAAAAGATCTTCAACACTTCAGTACGACAACAATATTAGAAAGAGCATAAATATGAAACATAATGAATTTCAAATTCGAAAATAACCAATATTTCCTACCCCATTGTCATAAAATGTAATCATCAATCTTAACCTGAATGAACCCTGCAATAAAAAAAAAGAGAACAAAAACATACTTAAAAAGAAAGGACTTGACACAATTGGTTTATACGATCAGATAAATTATTTAACAGCATATACAGATGGATCATCAGACCTTACCATAAGTAATGGAGGGGCTGGAATTAACATAATACTGCAAAATGGAACATACATCGATATCAAAGAAGGAGCAAGAAAGATTTCGTCAAACTTCACTTGTGAACTGACAGCTATCTGGAAAGCTCTTGATGTATGCCTTAACGAACCATCCCTGCATCAAGCAGAAGGAATTATACCGTACAACGACTTCATATCCGATCTAGAAGCAATTCAGAAGGGCAATACTATAATCACACATGGTATACGGCACACTAAGACCAGTCCGTATAATCCTAGTACAAATGGTTTAGCTGAGAGATATGTAAGAGAGTTTAAAAACCTTTTGAGAAAGAATAATGGGAAAGATGATTTAGAGACGAATCTACAAAGATTCCTATTTGCTAATGAAGAGAAGTTTAAGATCAAGATTCTCGAATTTAATACCAAGATGGGAAATCCGCGAGAGATATTTCATGAGGCCGTAAGAAGGCAGGAGCAGTTTACTACAGGTTGCGAGGTTTATTTCCGCAACTATGCAACTGGACCTAAACGGTAAAAAGGTACCATTTTGAAATTATTGAGCTACCGTCACTACCTTATAAGTTGCGAGGGCGTCGTGTATAAGGGGCATATCAATCAATTGCGACCTGTGAGAAAGAAACAAGTGGAGACAAGAAATTTGATACTTCCTCGAACATCAGGAGAGAAGCCTGTAGGTGGAAGTCAGAAATAAAGTGAAGAGGAGGTTCCAGAGGTTACATCAGGAAACAAGGAGGAGACTACTTCTGTGCACGTACCCTCTTGCACTCCTATACCAGGGCCTGTTGCTGTGCACGTGCCCTCTTGCACTCCTAAACCGGAGGCTGCCGCTGTGCAAGTGCCCGTCCGCAGTCCTAGACCTCAGAGAGCAAGGAAACCCCTAGACCGACTGGAGTATTATTAAGGGGGGGGGGAGATTTGTTGTCTATGTAAATAGATGAAGATTATTTGCATTCTTTAAAGTCTCATTATGTAAGAATATATGTGTATATAAATTGGACATTATTTATTGGCCAAACGAAAAGAATCTGAGGCTCTTTATTGGACACGACAAAAACAACAACGGCATCCCAGAGTAAAATAAATCATCAGAGATAGATAAATATTTTTCAAATGAATTGAAATAAATATAATCGATACTGAGAGAGAGTTGAATTTAAAAAAATAGAAAATTATTATTTTCGAAATATAAATAGCTGAGAGGATTCCAGCAAACCGCATCTAAAATATCAGTTTTTTTTTTTGCTACATGTTTTAATTTGCATATACCTATTTTACATATCTCAGATTGTATTTAAAAATCGTTAACCATTTCTTCTAACTTTTGGCGAAATGGTGTTTTATTAATTTATCATTTGATATTATTAGGGTTCTTTCCTGGTATTCAAAAAGGAAAAATACGTGTCGTTCAGTTATATTTTTCAATTTATCAAACAATTTGGCCGCTGAATCGCTGATTCTGGTAGAGCGCCATCTAGCGAATAAAGTTGTAACTAAAATCAATTTCGTATTTTTCATTATTTGCCATAAGAAATCCCATTGCATCCTGAACACAATGGTGTTTACCGCATTGCTCTAGCGCAAATATTCGCGGAGTTATTAATTTTTAAAGTTGTGCGGGACTTTTGGATCACCCTGTATATTGGTAGTTTAAGAATTTATTCTCTTTTTGTAAAACGACATTGGAAAATATCCCGCATGAGTTTCTTTTAAATGAAAAATCGAAATTTATTTTTAAGGAGAAATAACGACTATTTCTAACCTTAGAGATGAGATATGAAAGGATGAATTTTGAAAAGTAATGATAAACGGAAAAATAAAGTGTCCAGGGATGGGAATCGAACCCAACACTGTTCCGCTTACCGGGCAGATGCCATGTCCACTAGGCTACCCTGGACATATTTTTCTGTTCGTAAATAATATATGAGGTAATTTATAAAACAATACAGGGTGATCCAAAAGTCCCGCACAACTTTAAAAATTAATAACTCCGCGAATATTTGCGCTAGAGCAATGCGGTAAACACCATTGTGTTCAGGATGCAATGGGATTTTTATGGCAAATAATGAAAAATTCGAAATTGATTTTAGTTACAATTTTATTCGCCAGATGGCGCTCTACCAGAATCAGAGATTCAGCGGCCAAATTGTTTGATAAATTGAAAAATATAACTGAACGACACGTATTTTTCCTTTTTGAATACCAGTAAAGAACCCTTATAATATAAAATAACAAATTAATAAAACACCACTTCGCCAAAAGTATGAAGAATTGGTTAACGATTTTCAAATACAATCAGAGATATGTAAAATAGGTAAATGCAAATTAAAACATGTAGCAAAAAGAAAATTGATATTTTAGATACGGTTTGTTTCCGAAGATAATAAATTTCTAATATTTTTAATTCAACTCTCACTCAGTATCGATTATATTTATTTTAATTCATTTGAAAAATATGCATCTATATCTGATAATTTATTTTACTCTTGAATGCCGTTGTTGTTGTCGTGTCCAATAAAGAGCCTTAGATGTATCCATGCATCTCCATCACAGCAGCAGCAATGTCCACTATCTTGGGTGTGTAAAGCTGCTGCTCTGGGTCTATGTCAATTTTCTGCAAGGCTGCGGCCATTGCTGGCTATGAGAATATGTGGGTAGGTGTAAGTTCCACACCAGGACAATTGTTGCATGCCCTATGGGTTCTTGTGCCATCTGGATGTATTGTCATTCCTTTATAGTGTTTTGTTCTAAGTATTGTTATAGTTTTGACATTTTTCTCTCGGAGTTTATTTCGCATTTTGATCTTTTCTTATTTTTCTTTGGTTTTTAATTATCTTGTATTTTGACAAAGAATCAGCGTCAAATAATGACATTTGTTCTTTCCTTTGGCTCAACTTTCTAGCTTCCTTTGCCAATTCAAATTCCATTTCATTACCCCCGATCCCAGCATGGGCAGGGATCCAATGTAGAATGCAGTTATTCTCCAATGGTTCCAGTTGGGTAAGTAACGAGTGTATTTTCTGTGTGATTTTAGTATTGCCCTTCTGAATTGCTTCTAGAGCGGATATGGAGTCGCTGTATATTAAAATTCCTTCTGCTTGATGCAGGGATGGTTGGTTAAGGCATACATCAAGGGCTTTCCAGATAGCTGTCAGTTCACAAGTGAAGTTTGACGAAATATGTCCTGCTCCTTCTTTGATTTTGATGTTTGTTCCATCTTGCAGTATTATGTTAATTCCGGCCTCTCCATTACTCAGGGTAAGGTCTGAAGATCCATCTGTATATGCTGTTAAAGGGCGTGGCCTAGCATTTTTAATCAAGAATTTGTACTATGAGGACATAGCCATTAATATTCCAAACACATTAGACCTCGAAGCCCAAGGTATCAAAGTCTACCTCAATCAAAACAAAGCCATCAACATATACAATATGTATCACCCTCCAAACAATACATTTATTGACGATGGAACAATGGCTCAATTTCTTACAGACAACACTATTATTGTAGGTGACCTTAATGGCAAACATCAACTATGGGGATGTTCTACGTCAAACCCAAGAGTCAAAATACTATCAAACATATTTGACGACAATGCCTTCTCATGTGCTTAAATGATGGGAATCCTACCCATCATTCCTACAAGCTATAATACTGAATAAGCCCTTGATATAAGTTTTTACTATCCTGACATTTTCCACAAATGCAAATAGCAAATATTAGAAAGTTTTGGAAGTGATCATTTGCCTAATTTGATAGAAATTAGCACCAAGACCAAAACTAGCTCAATTAAGAAAAATTCTGGAACTTCAAAAGGCTAATATGATATCTTTCGAAAACACCATTATTAAAGCAGCCAAAGTTTCAATACCAAGAGGTAATATTAAGAAATGGATTCCAAATTATACACACCAGGCAAAAATATTCAAACACTTATAACTAAAAGAAATGAACTACAAAAAAAGTGCCCTCAAAACCAAACAAATTGTAGAACTGAACTGAACATTGTGATTGCAAAAATAAAAAGATTATACGTAAATGTGAAAAGGGAAAAATGGAAACAAACCTGTGAAAACTTGAACCCAAGAAACCCAAATACAAAACTTTGGAATTTGGCAAAACAAATTGACAGAGTCCAGCCACAAACTGAAAACGCAAATATGATTAAGAATACAGATGGTACACCAGCAACTAATGACAAAATTGCTGCCAATCCTTTAGGTAATTCATATCAAATAAGTAGTAAAATCAAGGTTGAAAAAAGGCCCGAAAGATTATTCATGACTGTAAAAATGTCACCAGCACTCATAATATTTTCCATGAAAAATATCAATATGAAAGAACTTGCTTATGCATTAGAAAACACTGACCTAAACAAGACTCCTGGGCCAGATGGAATCCATGGCCGAATGATATCAAACTTGGGCAAAATTGGCAAAGAAAGACTTCTTAATATTTTCAATAACTCCTGGAAAACTGGAAAATTGCCTCAAGACTGTAAAAATGCAACAATGATTCCCATTAAAAAACTTCACAAATCTGCTGATGACCCAAAAAACTACCGACCTATCTCCCTCACAAATATTTGCTGCAAATTAATGGAAAAAATTATACTCAGACGACTCACCTACCACCCCGACACAAGAAATCTCTTACCAGAAGAACAATATGGATTTAGGAAAGGACATGGGACAATAGACCAACTCTTATTTTTCACACAAAAGGTAAAAGATGCACAAAACAAAAAAACCAACTAGCCACACCATAGCTGCTTTTTAGACCTTACACAAGCTTTTGATAAGGTATGGAAAAACAAGTTAATTACAAATTTATACAAACATTTCAAAATTGATGGAAAAGCAATAACTTGGATAAATGATTCCCTTAAAAATATATACATCAGGGTCAAATATAATGGCACTCTATCTAAAACCTTCAAATTGTACCAAGGATTACCACAAGGCTCAGTCCTTAGCCCAACTCTCTTCACCCTATTTATTGCAGGCATAGAAGAAAAATTTTCACATAAAACCAATATTGGACTTTTCGCAGATGACATTATTCTATGGAGCAGTAACACTAACTGGAAAAAAGCTGAAAGAGATTTGAACAAGACTCTTCTCCACCTAGAAAATTTGCTAATAAACATAAATTAGAATTTAACCCCCAAAAATCTGAAACCTGTCTTTTCACTACCGATAAGAAACTATACAAAATAAGACCAAATATTATTCTGAAAGAACAACAATTGCAATATAATAAACATCCTAAATATCTCGGCTACACCCTGGATCCAGAAATTAACTCCAGTAAACATATTGAAGGAGTTGTTAGAAAAGGAAGAGACCGACTAAAAATCTTGAAATATATTTCAGGAAGAGTGGGGAGCTGAAGCAACAACACTAAAATTAACTTACACAACTCTAATGAGACCTATCTTGGAATATGGATATCAAATCTATGGTGCAGCATCTGAAACAAATCTAAAAACACTGGAAAGGATACAACTAAATGCAACTAGAATTATTACAGGTCTTCGAAATACCTGCCCTGATAATATTGTACTTTACGAGGCAGACATTATGCTCTTAAAGGATAGAATAAGCTACAATCTGCCAAAATATATAAACAAAATCAAGAGTTATGAAAACAAACACAGAACTTTCAATTACATACTTAATTGGGAACCCAATATAAGACTCAAAAAAGAAGGCCCTCTCCACCTGGCCAAAAGAAAAGGATTTTTAAAATATAAAGTAGAAAAAAATTATTTAGCAGTAAAAATTTCTCCATGCGAACCACTACAAAATGTTATTTTTAATGCCTCTTTAAATTAACCCACCAACAAACAATGCCAAAATCCAGAATACTTAAAACAATTATCATTAGAAATAATTAATAACATTCCTAAAAATACAATAACTATTTATACCGATGGTAGCAGAGACGAGCTAGGACACACTGGCAGTGGCTGTCTCATCAAAAAAACAAATGGCATTGAGAAAATGAACAGAAGAAACCCAGAATTTTGCTCAGTCTTCAGATCAGAACTTATAGCCATCTATGAAGCCTTAAAATTCATCAGAAATACTAATTATCAAGATATCTGGATTCTTACTGATAGTAGAAGTGCCATACAACACTTGAGTCACACAGGGGAACTTAGAGACAAAGTAAGCAGGAACATAATTGGCTATCTCCAAAAACTCTCAAAAACCTCAAAAATTCACCTTCAATGGATACCCTCACATGTTGGAATTGAAGGCAAAGAAGCTGCTGATGTGCTAGCGAAAAAAGGCACAAAAGAACCCTTGCCACAGAAAAATAAACTTACTTTTAAAGAAATAGAAACAGTAGCCAAAATAAACAAGAATTGGAGGATCCCACCTAAGCACAGTTGGTACACCCTAGAAGCAAATGGCCACCCAGACCTTTCGGTCAACAAGCCGGCATGCTCTTCGCTGCTATCCTGTTCAACTCATAAGCCAAGTAACGGTATCCAAGCTAGTGCTAGGACATTGTACCTGGAAACACCACCTCCCAGACAACGTGTCTGGAAGGATTTCTATACCGGTGGCCTTTAATCACAGCAAAATAGGAAACTATCTACTGTGTCCAGCAGGGACCGCGGGGAGGCAACCCCCGGTCGACTCTGTCCACTCACAGCTGAGGAAAAGCTCAGCTGCCACGTCGTGGGCTTTCTCAAGTAGCTTGCTGTGATTTCTCAGCAGCTTACTCTCGATTGCGCCCCTTGCCCTCCTTCTCTCTTCCTGCACACCCACTACCCTTGGACAATCCAAGCCGTTGTGGCGTGCATTCACATCCCTTTCTCCATAGACGCAATCAGGGTTTCTCTTAATTTTAAATCTGTGGAGACTTGGGGAAGAGCTCATGTCCCG